GATTTTGGCCTCAGGAACTTGGGTGTTGGACTGACCTGAGATCCTGGCCGTGGCCCATGCAGGGATGCAAAGGCAGATGGGGTGGGAAGAAGCCCCAAGATTTCCCAGGGAGTGGATTGAGTAGCTGGGTTGTTCTGGATGCAAAGGATGAGGGAGAGGAAAGGTAAGCCTCGGAGCCCCAGAAAGAGGTTGTCAGCCCCAGAAAGAGGCTGGCAGGTGTTTCAGGACCAGGGAAGTAGAGGGAGGTGAGGGTGGGGCCAGATCCAGAAGCAGTGCTCCTAGGGCCCAAGGAAGGCACTAAGTTGGTCTGGGTGAAAAAGATCAGGAAGCAGTATTGGTTCCCCAGGTGTCTGGGGACCCAAGACTAGGAATGGCGCAGGGCCCAAGCTAGGAGTAGAGAACAGCAGGGGAGATGGAAGGGTAAACACGGCTGGGGGAGTCAAGGTGTGGAGGGCTGCGCGATAGACTTACCCCAAGAGAGGCCTGAGGGCAGGAGAGCAAAGTTGTGATCCTTCTATCTCTGCCTCCCAAGTACTGGGATCATAGGTGTGTTATCACTATGCCTGGCTTTTAACGTCATTTTTTTTTTTTTTTTTATACTTCTTTTGAGTACTGTTGTCTAGACCAATGTTCTTTAGAACAAAACTGTGGGTATTGCACAACACAGGTACACTTACATACATGCAGGCAATACACTCATACACATAAAATAAAAATAATAAATAAGGGGCTGGGATATGGCTCAGTGGGTAGGAGCACTGGCTGCTCTTGCAGAGGACCTTGGTTCAATTCCCAGCACCCACATGGCAGCTAACAGCCATCTATAACTTCAGTTCCAGGAGAATCCGACACCTACTGACCTCCGAGGGCATTGCACAACACAGGTGTGCCTACCTACATGCAGGCAATACACTTATAGGCATAAACAAGTAATAAACAATAAAATATTAAAAAGCAAATAGTAAATAAAATATTTTTTAAAAGACCTTGTATGATTTCTATGCTAATTTTTCTTGCAGGCATGGTGGGACTCACTGGGTCACCGGGGTTTCCTGGTCCTCCAGGGTTTCCAGGGGAAGCTGGGAGGACTGACTGTGTTCCAGGAAAACCAGGGAAACCAGGACCACCTGGCCTGCCTGGAGCCCCAGGACGGCAGGGGCCCCCTGGATCACACGGTAAGCATTCCTCATTTAGGTTCACCAGCTCTTGTGCTGCAATTCAGGTTTGCCAGGTTGTATAATATTTCAAGAACCAATTTGGTAATAGTGCAATTCTTTTTACAAATAAATGACACTGCACTATCACATCAATTAAAATACATGCAATTACTTAATTGGGACTTTAATTATGAACGATAGAATTTTATAAATTGATAATTTTTTAATGTTTTTTTTTTTTATCAGACATATATGAGCCTTGTTGAAGAATCAAACGCTTTCCAGGGTCTGTTATGCAGAAACGGAATCCCAGGCAATGCCCTCTCCTAGTCTTTCCTCCCCAGAGCGCACCTGTAGCTGGATTTTTTGGTGTTTGTTTCTCTACCGCTACTATGCACATGTATTGCTAATTCTTAATTTTCTACTTCGGACATTGGCTTTTGACTCCTCCCTACAGAATTACTGATCATTCACAACACCTCACTATATATGCACACATTTTTCATTCCCACTGTTCCTGGTAGAGATAGTGCCATGATTTTGGTTAGATAAATATTCAGTGTTTACACTAAATGGTTTAGAAGTGCTACCCACCAGCTGAGCCATGTAGTGATACATTTAGTATTTTTTCAGTGCAACGTTTGGCAAATTTTCTTATTTTCTTTGTGTCTATGCTAGCTGGATTTTCAATATAGTTATTATGGACTTACCCTCAGACTGACTAGAGTCACATATCTCTTCATTATATACTAACTCCTTACTGTTCTAACAGTATTATTTTTAAATAAATCTTTCTTGGAACTTGTTGACTTGTTCAAATCAGGTCAAGTTGCATTTTTATTTATTTATTTATTGCTAAGATACTTTGAGATCTTTCATTATTACTTTAAAGTTATTTCTACTTATGAGATCTGATACTATGTAACTACAGTATTGAAGCAATAGTGGCAAGGAAATATCCACACCAGTTGAGGTGCGATTGCCCTCCCGTCTCCCACTTGCCCCACCCCCTTCCCTGTGGCACCCTTCCTCTCCCAGTCATTCCCCCTCATTTCAAATCTCGTGTGTTCTATGGCCCTTTCCATGCCTTCCTTGAAGCCTCTTTTTCTCCCTCTCTTGGACGTCACTCTAGTGTCTTGGTTTTTTTCCCCCTTACTAACTCCCACTCAAGCACGTTTAACCTTTAGGAATTCCAATTCCTATTTAAGAGGGAACGTGCAGTATCTGTCTTTCAGAGCCTGGGTTCCCTCACTTAACTATTAACTAGACTATTTTCCAGTTCCATTCATTTCTTTCTGCAGATCTCATAATTTCACCTTTCTTGTCAGTGGAATAAAATTCCATGGTGAGTAGTTAGTTCATCATCCATTCAGCTGTTGTGGACATCTAGGCTGATTCCGACTCCCTGCTGTTGTGGCTAGAGCAGCAATGGACGTGGATGATCTTTCACTGTTTCTCTCTCTCCTCGCTCTCTCTGTCTCTTTGTTTTCTACTAGTTAGATTTCTTTCAATGGTTTATTCCCTCACTAAATTTCCTGAGAAAAAATACAAATAAAAGTAAAGTTAGGGATCACACTTGTCTGAAGATGCCTTTGATGCGCTGGACAGCTGGCTTGATAATTTAGCTGACTGTCAAATCCTGGGTTGGAAACCTTTTCCTCAGGATTGTGTTTTCTAGCCTCCAGTGATTCTGCTGGAAACGTCTATAATACCTCATGATTGGTCTTAGGTTTGAAATTGATTTTCCTTTTTGGAAATTTTAGGCTCTTTGTCTTACATTTCACAATAATTTCCCATGACAAGGCTTTCTATTTATGTGCACACACCCAGTAAGCAGTTATAATCCAACACACAGCCTTCAGTTCTCAAAAAGTTTTTCAAGTTTCTTTTGGTGTTCTTTGTTTGTTTGTTTGTTTTGTTTTTTGAGACAGGATCTTCCTGTAGCCCCAGCTGGCCTAGAACTTGCCATATAGACCAGGCTGTTCTCAATCTCACAGAGATCTGCCTTCCTCTGTCTCCCAAGCGCTGGAACTAAAGTTATGCACCACCACACCCAGCTCAAGTATTTTTTGAACACATTCCAAACTCCTTTTCTCATTGGACTTTATGTCTATCAAAACCCGTTCCGTTCTGTATTTATTCCAACCTTTACTCAACTGTACTCCTTTATTACTTAGTAACACTTCTAGAAAATTTCTTCAATCTCATCTTCCAGTTCTCCTACTGAATTGATCGAATTTTTGCTACCATAAATACTATGCATATTTTTATTTCAGAGGGTTTTGTTGTCGCTGTTGATCCATTTCAGCGTTTTCTTTCGTAGCAGCCTGTTCACATGCCCAGCGTGGAATACCGTCCCTCACAGGCTATGTTAATGACACTGGTTCTTTTGCAGAGTTCTTATTGCATTATCTGTCTCCTCTAGTTTTTGTGGGACTATTTTATTTTTTCACTACAGTTTTTTTTTTTTTTTAGAAAGTAGATCTTCCAATGTATGTAAATACTTCTTTGTCAAGTCATTCTGTTTTGAGTCTTACCGTCATTTTACTCCCTAAACTCAAAGAGATTTCTGATGTTAATCCTGCTCTTTCTTGGCTTTTTGATTTGCCTGCTTGGATTTCAGCATCTCTAGGGTCTGCTAAGACTTTTCACTTAATATTATTGTTGTTGTCATTATTATTGGTTTACAGCCTTTTATTCTACTAGAATTTTCAGAGAATGTAGTTTATTTGCATTTTCTCTGTCATCTTTAACCAAATGTCTTCGAAATTTTGCTTTTGAAAACCAGGTCTGTGTTTTCTTCCTTATACAGTGACTGGTAATTGAAGGAGAGAAATTCTTTGCTATGCACTGGTTCTGGCTTTTGTTGCTGATGATGACTTTATTTTGTTTTAGTATTTGCTGCTGCTATCATTCATTCTCTTACCTGTGGGCTTTATCAGTGGGCATGGCAGCAGAACACACCGTGACAATTGTGTCGTCTATATAGATACATGTTCTTTAATCAGAGAGAGAAAAAGAGAATCTCAGGGAAAGAATGGAGCAAAACATGGGGCACAGATGGGGAGCACAGGGAAAAGGATGTGGGTATATGACACTGGTGTTCTATAGGAGACCTTAACCAAAACCATGTGATTCTCTCTGCTTACTCTTTGCCACCAGTGATATATTGTAGTCCTGGATGCCCTGGACCACAGGGAGAAAAGGGCAAAATGGGTCCCCCAGGAAGAAGAGGCTCAAAAGGAGAAAAAGGCAAGTATACCTGAAAGGTAGAGATTATACATGACAACCACATGTGGAGGACCAGAGAGGGTGTGTTGGAGAAGGGAAACATGGCAAGTCATTCAGACCTGCTACTCCTCATGAGGACTGCACTTGATCTAGTGTGACCAGGTCACCAAAGTCTGGTCCTTATGTCAGACCAGAGCTTCATAAACTTTTCTCCACTCATGACCAATTTTTTTTTTTTTGGTCTTTTTGAGACAGGGTCTCCCTGTAGCCCCAGCTGTCCTGGAACTCACTATGTAGACCAGGCTGGCCTTGAACTCACAGAGATCTGCCTGCCTCTGCCTCCTGAGTGCTGGGATTAAAGGCATGTGCCACCACACCCAGCCTCATGACCAACTTTTACTTGAGAAATTTTTATGTAGCCTCATGTATATAGTATATAAAATAGGCATACAAACTAAACATTTACTAATAATAAATCATAAATTAATTTTGATATAATTATTTAATATGTATAAGTACCATTTAATAAATACAGAAGCAAGTTCACATACAAATGAGTTAGATGCATTTATTTTTATATAAGGAATTAAATCTTGGCTGAATATTTGATACTGCAAGGTGTAGACCATCTTCAACGTTATTCAAGGGTGACAGATATTTTGATTTTATAATCATCAATGCTAAGAACACTGCTTTTCATATAAATCCATGAAATAAAATGGCAGAACTATATTTAAGGTAATTACAGATAATTCTGTCTTAATCTCAAAGCAAAATTCATTTCACAACATTTTTTGAAACTCAAGTGAGCTACTCAAACAGCAATCTTTGGGGGAAGGGTTGAGACAGGGTCTCCCTGTACCCCAGCTGGCCTGGAACTCACTATGTAGACCAGGCTGGCCTTGAACTCACAGAGATCGCCTGCCTCTGCCTCCCAAGTGCTGGGTTAAAAGCATGCACCACCCTACCCAGCCTCAAACAGTAATTTTTAAAAATAAACATTTTGGGGGCCCGAGAGATGGCTCACCAGGTAAGAGTACTTACTGCTCTTGCAGAAGACTTAGGTTCAATTCCTAGCACCCACATGGTGGCTAACAACCATCTGTAACTCCAGCTCCATAGGAATCTGATGCCCTCTTCTAACCTCCGTGGACTTTGCATGATATAGGCGCACTTACATACATGCAGGCAATCACTCATACACATAAAAAATAATAATAAATAAAATTTAAAAATAAATAAATAAACATTTCAGTGGCTGGAGAGATAGCTCACCAACTGTTCTTGCAGAAGACCAGAGTTCTGTTCTCAGCACCCACATGGTGATTTAACAACTGTTCTTGACTCCAGTTCCAGGGGGATCCAGTGTCCTCTTCTGGCCTTTGTGGGTATTGCACACATGGGTGCACTTACATACATGCAGACAAAACACTCAAACACACAAAATAAAAGTAAAATTAATAAAAAAATTAGAAAGTAATAAACATTTCAATACAACATAATCCAGAGATATATTAATTTGATATTTACATGCTGCAGGATGATGGTAGAGAAATGTTGAAAGTTCTTGTTTTCCATAATTAAACCATTGCATTTTCTATAGGAGTAGAAAGCTTTGTGTGACAGGAAGAGCATTGCAATGAATACCACACAGTAGTGTGGAAACTGAGCTGAGGGATTTCAGGCGCATTCATTGGTGGTGTGTAGTGGCATGCATGGTGCAAAGTGCATGTGTTGCATGTTCAGAAGAAGGACTGCAGTGAAGTCTTGAGATGTAGCATAGGAGAGCGCTGTGCCTTGGATTAATTTGGAATCAATTTTTGGTCTTTGCACTTCAGAAATCTTTCATTATTGCCAGTTTTGGCAGGGAGGGGACCCACATTTGGTTTCACAATGCCCTCTGAGGTTGGTGCTCTAGTTTAACATGCTGGCTCTTAGGGACTAAATGGTCATCAGCATGGTCTCCAGGTAGAGGATTACAAGGTCCTCCTGATTCCTTGAGAGGGTACGGAAAAGACTATTGAGATTGTATTGCTGTTTCCATCCTCGGGTACAGAACTTCCCAGACTCACTGAAAAAGGTCTGTGGCCACTTCCCAACTCTGATTTTTGGAGTCTTTTGAACAACTAAACCAGGTGAGAACATAAATACAAGCAAGGAGACTGTTTTTCCCAAACTTTACAATTTTGTATATGTATTTATTTTTATCTTATAAGTATGACTATCTTGTCTGCATGTATGTAAGTGCATCCATGCATGTAATGCCCATGGAGGTCAGAGAAGGGTGTCTACAGTAATTTTTAAAAATAAACATTTTGGGGGCCCGAGAGATGGCTCACCAGTTAAGAGTACTTACTGCTCTTGCAGAAGACTTAGGTTCAATTTCTAGCACCCACATGGTGGCTAACAACCATCTGTAACTCCAGCTCCATGGGAACCTGATGCCCTCTTCTAACCTCCATGGACTTTGCATGATATAGGCACACTTACATACATGCAGGCAATCACTCATACACATGAAAAATAATAATAAATAAAATTTAAAAATAAATAAATAAACAATGCACCACCCTACCCAGCCTCAAACAGTAATTTTTAAAAATAAACATTTTGGGGGCCCGAGAGATGGCTCACCAGGTAAGAGTACTTACTGCTCTTGCAGAAGACTTCTGATAAATTAGAGCAATGATGACACAGAATCTGATCTTTCTTTATAAGAGAAATGTGGGTATTGGGGCTGGAGAGATGGTTCAGAGGTTAAGAGCACTGGCTGCTCTTGCAGAGGACCCAGGTTCGATCCCCAATATCTACATGGTGGCTAACAGCCATCTGTAACTCCAGTTCCAGGGCATCCAATGCCCTCTTCTGACCTCTGTGGGCATTGCACAACTTGGGTGCCCTTCATACACGCAGACAAAACACTCAAACACACAAAATAAAAGTAAAATTAATAAAAAAATTAGAAAGTAATAAACATTTCAATACAACATAATCCAGAGATATATTAATTTGATATTTACATGCTGCAGGATGATGGTAGAGAAATGTTGAAAGTTCTTGTTTTCCATAATTAAACCATTGCATTTTCTATAGGAGTAGAAAGCTTTGTGTGACAGGAAGAGCATTGCAATGAATACCACACAGTAGTGTGGAAACTGAGCTGAGGGATTTCAGGCGCATTCATTGGTGGTGTGTAGTGGCATGCATGGTGCAAAGTGCATGTGTTGCATGTTCAGAAGAAGGACTGCAGTGAAGTCTTGAGATGTAGCATAGGAGAGCGCTGTGCCTTGGATTAATTTGGAATCAATTTTTGGTCTTTGCACTTCAGAAATCTTTCATTATTGCCAGTTTTGGCAGGGAGGGGACCCACATTTGGTTTCACAATGCCCTCTGAGGTTGGTGCTCTAGTTTAACATGCTGGCTCTTAGGGACTAAATGGTCATCAGCATGGTCTCCAGGTAGAGGATTACAAGGTCCTCCTGATTCCTTGAGAGGGTACGGAAAAGACTATTGAGATTGTATTGCTGTTTCCATCCTCGGGTACAGAACTTCCCAGACTCACTGAAAAAGGTCTGTGGCCACTTCCCAACTCTGATTTTTGGAGTCTTTTGAACAACTAAACCAGGTGAGAACATAAATACAAGCAAGGAGACTGTTTTTCCCAAACTTTACAATTTTGTATATGTATTTATTTTTATCTTATAAGTATGACTATCTTGTCTGCATGTATGTAAGTGCATCCATGCATGTAATGCCCATGGAGGTCAGAGAAGGGTGTCTGATCCCCTGGAACTGGAGTTATGGGTGATTGTTAGCCACCATGTGGGTGCTGGGAACCCAACCTGGGTCCTCTGCAAGAACAACCAGTGCTCTTAACCCTAAGCCATCTCTCCAGCCACCCCCCACCCAAACTTTATTTTCAAGACTGAAATTTCTGATCATTTGGGAATATACTGGAGTGAATTAGCGCCTATAATATACCACTCAATCAATAATCCCTTTCATGTACTATTTTTGTTTCCTTGATTATTCAAGGCTATGCCATAACCAATTTATGTTTATATTTAATATCGTTTATTTATCTTTATTTCCTCAGTAGATGCTGAATAAAAGCTTTCAGTTCCTCAAAATTGCATGTTAACTTTTCAGGATGAGTTTAAGATATGAAATGGGATTTTATTTATTTAGAAATTAGGAACTCACCCCACATAGACCATGCCACAGACCCACCCTGTCCCATGTTGCATTCCAGCCTCCGTGTCGCATGGCATTGTTTTTCTGTGATAGGAATTGCACTCATCAGATTCTTCTCTAGTCACACTACTTGTGTAGTAAGACTCGTATTGAGGATTTTGACAGGAAATATGACAAACCTGACTTTCTCCCCATGTCTAGGAAATGAAGGGCTCTGTGCCTGTCCACCTGGTCCCATGGGACGTCCTGGCCCCCCAGGACTCCCTGGAAGACAAGGAAGTAAAGGAGACTTAGGGCTTCCTGGCTGGCGTGGAGAAAAAGGTGACTCAGGCCCACCTGGTGCAGAAGGACCTCCAGGACCACCTGTGAGTGACCCCTACTGGTCATCATCTCTCCAGTTAAATAAGACAGAAGTAGAATTTGATGGCCCCTTCTAACCTTATGTGTGATATAGTTTTTTTTTGAATATATGAACAAACTTAATGACTAAACATTCATTCATCCATCCAGATTCACTCATTTATCAGTTTACTATTTATTGTCTACTATGACCTAGGTATGGTTCTAATGTGCTTGGGATACAGCAGGAACCAGAATAATTTGTGTACTTCTGGAAATTTGCAGACAAGCCAGACTTTATAATAGACAGATTAGTAAATGTGCAGTATTGGCACATGCGGACAAAGGCCCTGCTTATCTAGTAGGAGTGAGTGGAAAGAGGGAGGGGCAGTGCAGATGATGAAATCAAAGAAATGGCAGGAGGCTTGGATATGGCGCAGTGGTAAAACACTTACCTACACGCACAAAGTCCTGGGTTCCCTAGTACACACACACACACACAAACACACACACATACACACACACACACACACACGGTACACCTTAAGAGAGGCTACAGAGCTTGGGGCTTTGCAGCTGGGTCAGGTTTGAGCCTTTATCTTAAAGGACATAGAACAGCCTGTAGCGTGTCAGGAAGAGAGAGTTAATGCTCTCATATTCATCATAATGGATCATAAGTTGCTCTGTGAGGAACAGACCAGGCACAAGGGAGGAAGCATAGAGAGAGGACAGAAGGTAGCTGAATAATTCTGGGGAAAAGAGTTGCAGATAGATTGTAGTCCTGGTGCTAGGAAGTGAGATATCAGTTTCTAGACATAGCTTGACAGTGGAGTCAACAGATTTCCTGTTAGATTTGATAAGAGATACAAGAGAAATGGAAATAAGGGTGGCGCTAAGGGCTTTGAGCTACTAGAACAAGGCAGTTGTCTTGGGCTGGGACGGAGAAAAGACAGAGAACTGTTTGGAACATTTTAGGTTTGAGTGCTTAATAAACAAGCAAATCAAAATGCCAAGCTGACTGAGGAGTGACGATCAACTCATAGACTCAGAGGCCTGGAGATCTGAATAGTGACTTTATTGGCGTATAAGTGATGGTTGGTGCCAGGGAAGGAATGGCAGCAGAGAAGTTATATGGAAAGAACCACACAGAGGACAAAGGCATCAGAAACATGCCAGTCCCAAAGGTCTTGGAACAACTGAGTGAAGGAAACTTTAGCTCTGGTGACTCTGGATGAATTAGTGATCCACAGTCAAAGATGCCAACTTGAATCTATCTCAAGATGGCACTCATTCACAGAAGCACAGCCTTTCAGTTGTCTAATCCCTGACAATAAAATCACTACCCACTGAGGTACTCCCCATGGAGGCTGCCTTCTGTTCCGTCCTTACTAAAGACGCTTAATTCTGGCTGCCCCGGGGTTCAATAATCAAGTCCCCAAATTATTCTCCATTCCTTCTAGAAAAATCCAACAAAAATATGGTCTAAGTGAAGGTAATGGGTCAGGTCCCCAGCCTTGCCCTTTCTAAGTGTACACAGCACAGTGGCAAAGTTGGCTCAGTAGGAACCTAAGTCTTTAATGTGTAGATAGGAAACAAACATGCTGAGATGACTTTGTGGCTTGTATTTAATCGTCTGATTTTTAATTCAGTATTTTACCATAGTCAATTTTTTGTGTGTTGCTAGTTAATCTTTTTAGTGACTAAAATATTGTGAGTTCATGTTGAGTTGCTTCCTAGGGCTAACATCTTTGAGTTGTGGACTACTAATTTATCCAAGACTATTATGGGTAAGATTTACTTAAGTCAGTCATTCTAGGCATCCATTGGACTGGATGTCTCTAATGTCTCTCCCGTGGATGATTTTTCTCATCTGACTTCTTTGCATTACATTTGCCACTTTGTGCTTACAGTTGGGGACCAGGACCAAACCGTGGGATAAAAATCCTTCCCCTTCTCTTAGCGGCTTTCCTTAATATTGCAGGATTTCCCGACCCCTTCATTAATTACACACACACACTACTCTCCACTGTCAGCTCCATGACAGATCTGCTGACTCATCTTCCTCTTGACTCTTGATTGTGCAGAACAAAAGCAAAAATAATTTTAGATGTTTTTGATGGCACATTTTACTTAGGATGATAAAGACCAACGGGAGGTTGCACAGTCACACAGAACTCCCATGTTTCTTTTCCCCCAGTTTCCCTTGATGATGTCTTAACCGTAGCACATTGCTGAAACAAGGAAAGTGGTATCAATACATTTCTGCTAATTTGGATATAGACTTTACATAGATTTTATCACCAAGAACCTTGACTTTGTAAGATCAGGCCACATTGAAAGGCAGGAGAAGGATGAAACGAAGCCAGAGTCTTTAAACAAGAGATTTAGGACTAGAGGAGAGGGAGATTAGATAGACAAGAATATGAATAACATTGGACTCATCACAATTAATCTAATGTATTGCTCTTATTTTTCACCAAGGGAAAACCTGGTGCCTTGGGAAGCCCTGGGCACAAAGGAGCAAAGGGTAACATGGTCGTATCAAGAGTGAAAGGTGAGTGTGACCAACCACTTAGCCTCTTGATATTTTATGAATTGTCTATGGGCCATCCACTTCCCCTGTGACCACAGATCAGTTCTCTATAATTTAGGATTATTGAGATTGCTTTGAAAGTATTCCCTGCCCTTCACAGAATGGTGTGAATGATGAACACTGAATGTTCTACCTCTTGTTTGAAAATACGACTATCCCTTAGTGATGTAGCTAAATCTTCATTATGGTGAGCTTGGCTTTGAAACAAACCTCCTTTGAGTTTGCCTTCTGTTAGTTCACTGCTTTGTGGTATCCTATATTAGTGAAGGGTGTTTAAATTTCAAGTGACAGACTCTTGTCCTGGACTAGTTTTGGGGAATAATGCAACTTATTGGCCTACTAAACAAAATGTGCAAAGCCAGGTATAGGGTTCACACTGGGACAACCAGATCTAGGGCCTCACACGGGTCATGAGGTTCTCTGTATCCTTCATCCTTCCGTGCTCCAACTGCTTCTGCTCCAACAGCCTGACTTTCTCCTGGCTACATGTCCCAGGGGTACCATGCTCCAGGCAACTCTAAAGCTTTACAAAAAGAGATGAAGAGAGCTCTGCTGTTGGCTCTAGGCAGAGTAATAGCTTCAGAAAGGACTGTGTAGTTTAGGGCAAGATTCTAACTGCCAATTCCCCTATCCACTAAAACCAGGGATAGAATGCTGTGCGTGCTGTCACTCAGGGAGGAGAAGAGTCTGCAACTGGTCCCTCCACAGACCACCTCTTTGCTGGAATAGGAAAGGAGAATTTCCCAAATAAATAAATGGAAAGATTTTGGCATTCTCCTATTTGGTTTTGTAATGGTTTGGAAGACTTTGGGCAACTGAGGATTGAGTTTCACTCAGGAAAATACCAACCCTCAGAGAGTCAAGGTCATTGTCTTTGTCTTTAATGCTCTCTTTTATTCTCCTCCACTCTCTGTGGATAAGAGCTCATGAGCCCTTTTCCTTCTTTAACCAGGACACAAAGGAAAAAGAGGACCTGATGGGCCTCCAGGATTTCCAGGACAGCATGGACAAGACGGTCAGGATGGACGTGCTGGAGAAAAGGGGGATCCTGGACCCTCAGTATGTACAATTCTCCTGCTAGAAAATTTCTCTTTCTGATACGTTCATATAGGCATCTATTTTCACTTTCTCAGTTTTCCAAGATGAAACTCAGTGAAGCACCAACATCCTGTCATCAGTCACCTTTCCATTCACTGCTACCAAAAGATGATCATGAGAAAACACATAGAGCATGAGCTCGGGATGAGGCTCAGTGACAGTGTTTGCCTAACATGCATGAGACCCTGATGTCCATCTCCAGCAACACACATACCCCCCACAACCATAACCGCACACATGCATCTACATGCACACACGTATATGCACATACATACGCACATCTGTATGTGTGTGCACACATGTACACAAAGCACAAAAGAAAATATATGACATAATTAGAGAGGTTCTAAAGTCCTCAGTGGTAGGTCAGTCATAGCAAGACTTTGAATCATATTTGTGTCTATTTCCCTCTGGGGTCCTTAGATCTTGCTAAGCCCCATTGAGTGTTGGGCAGAGCACAGGTCCTGATGATTCTTAGCTTGGGTCTCCATTCTGGTGAAGAAGAAAATGAAGGGCAAGCAAGAAAGATGACCTCATACAAATCCTCTGAACTGACATATTCGATGATGGAACATCCCACTGGCAACTGGAGGGTAGATACCACATGCCAATGATTAAAATGGTTAAAGTTTGGTGAAAATAGCATGAGACAGGATCCAATACTTAGGAACTTAAAATATCTTGGGTATGTGAAGTAGTTTTGAAGGCCTAGACCATCACAGAAAATGGGCTAGATGTTTTCCTCCTAACAATATCCTGGTGAAGAGTAATTAACATCTGAGTTTTGCAAATAAGGAAGTAGAAGCCTTGGATATGTTGTTCAAGGTTCCCCCATCCATTAAGGACCCTGAACATGAATGAAAACTCCAGTGTGCCTTGTTCTAGAGCATGAATGACCATTCTAAAGTAGTTCCTATCAAGCATGAGAGCAAACCACCGAGAGTGTTATCAAAGAGAAAAGCCGCATCCTAACTTCATAGGAACCCTTCAGACCGAATGCCCATGAAGAAGAGGCAGAGCTGGAAACTGGGTTCAGAGATATTTATTCTTTCTGGCCTTTCAGCTGATGTTGTCTGTGAATGCTGTCTGGCAATCACTGTTTTATTCATTCTTTTACTTAATATACTCATCAAAGCATGAGAAACTGAGGTCTATTTATAGATCAAATTAGAGTGAATTTCTACAACTAGACATCTTCCTAGATTCACTGAAACAATCCAGATTCCAAAGACTATCATAAACCCCAGTGGGGACCCCATCTCCCAGCAGGTTAAAAGACAGGACCCTCAATTTGCCAACAAGACACTGCCTTATATCTGACAGTCTTTGCTGCTGTCCATTCAGCTAAGATGCAGGTGAGATGCCCATACAGCTGACATGGGGGCAGCCCTGGCTTGAGACCTTCATTCCCTGCAGGAGCTGCTACATCCACAGCACAGCATTTGGAGACCTGGTGAGGAATTCTCCATCTATAGGAGACACCACTAAAGCAAGCCCCCACAGAACAAAGCAGATACAAATTTTGCAACCAGGGATCTATTTTATAAGAAGCAATGCTGCCTAACATAGTTGTTGACGGCTTGGCTCTGATACCAGTTTCTGTACTAGTTTCATGTCCATTACAGTGATCAAATATCCTAACAACAACAAAAGCCACCTAAGGAAGAAAAGATTTATTTGGCTTACAATTCCAGGTTACAGTCCATGGTTATGGGGAAATGAAGGTGAGAACTTAAAACATCATATTTACAGTCAAGAGCAGAGAGAATAAACTCGTGGATCCTTGGTGCTTGCCCTCAGCTAGCTTTTCCCTGTCTTATACTGTTCAGGAACTCCTGCTAGGGAATGATGGCACCCACAACGGATGGATCTTCCTACATCAATTAACAATCAAGACAGTCTTTCACAGACATGCCCACAGGCCAACCTGATCTAGATAATTCCTCCTGATACTCTTCCCAGGTGATTCTATGTTGTATCAAGTTGAACAGAGCTAGTCTGGCAACCATCATAGGTCAGACCCTGATGCCGTAAGGAAAGAATCTGTTCATTTTTACTCACAGACATGGAAAGCAATGAAGTCTATTTGGGTATCTTTGCATAAGGATGTACAAAATCAATTTCATCCACAGAACTCACTGGATTTGTATGTGAATCTACCACTTGACTCACTTATTTTTATACATTATGATATTTGGTGTTTGTGATTCTGTATATAATTTCTTATTCTGTGTTGGACATAATCAATTCACTTTCTGTATTTGAGGCATAACTCACACATCCATATCATATATATGTAAATGAATATACAAAATGTGTATATAAAATACTAGGAGGAATCTAAGTTAATTATTTTAGTTCACATGTACTGTAAAGTAACTGTGTCTTGAAACTAGGAACTTTTTAACATGTGTGGGTAACAATGCTTTGCGTTCATGAACTTTCAAAGATCAATAATAGATGCATGATCTAACACCCCCAGGGAGGTCACGGAGATGCAACCCCCGGTGAAGGAGGGTCTCCTGGGCCACCTGGCCCTCCCGGGCAAGCAGGACCTGCAGGGCCTCCAGGCCTGGGATTGCCAGGTCCACCAGGAGAAAGAGGTCCACCAGGAGATCCAGGACGCCCGGGGATGAGGGGCTTTGATGGTGCGAAGGGGCAGAAAGGTAATTTTGGATGTTTCTACTGCAGAATATTAAGTGAAATCATAAAAGCTAAAGGGGGATTCTGCTGGGCAAAATTATTACAGCTCTGGGTAGGCCAGGTAAATTAAATCTATCCAGGAGCTGTCCAAATCCTGCAGGTTGTCAGGCGAATAAAAGCATTATAACACAATAAATATTTAAAATAAATCCTCAAAATGCTGTTATCATTGATGCTTTGTTTGCTTGGCACACTGAGACCGCTTTATATTCATTCTCACTATCAACTCATAAATCTAACTATTAAAATTATACATAATATATTTAAAGTATCGATTTTTATAATCTTTTGAGATAATACAGTATGTTTTAATAATAGAAACACTAGTAATTCATTTTAAAAGATCATTTTATGTAAAAATAAAACCACTTGTCAGCACTAGAAAGAAAAAAGAAGATATTTTAAACATATTTGACAGTTATATGAACTTTAAAAAAATAAAATTTGGGGGAGTTATGGATGACAACTTTTATGGTGACAGAAAAAGGTATATTTAAGATTTTTTTATAACATACATTGTGCCTTCGGCTATAGTGTTAATTTTTGCGGTTTTAAAATAAAATAATATCCTTGGCTCTTGCTTTGACAATGCAGAAAGAGATGTATGTTTGTATTTGATAAGATGTAAGTTCAGGGGCTGGAGAGATGGTTCAGTGATTAAGAATACTGACTATTCTTGAAGAAGACCCGGGTTCAAATCCCAGCACCCATATGGCAGCCAACAACTGTCCATAACTCCAGTTCCAGGGGATCCGACAGCCTCTTCTGTCCTCCATGGGCACTGCATGACACAGGTGCACTTACCTACATGCAGGCAATACACACATACACATAAAATAAAAAATAATAAATAAAATATTTTAAAAAGATGTAAGTTCATGGGCTGGGTGTGGTAGCACACGCCTTTAATCCCACACTCAGGAGGCAGAGGGCAGCAGATTGTGAGATGGAGGCCAGCGTGGGATGTCTACATAGTGAGTTCCAGGACAGCTGGGGTTACATAGTAAGATCCCGTTTCAAAAAAAAAAAAAGTAAGATCATGGTCTAAGACTCAGAAAAATGCCAGTTTTATTTGTCTTATACATTTTTATTTGAAACCCTATGAAGTGATAAACTGTGAGGTATTGTTTCTGCTATAAAATCAAAACTTTCGACTTTAGTGAGATATGGCAACTCAGAGGCGCAAGCTTTGAGTTATCATCAGTGAAAATGGGAATGATGATAGCTTCATTCCTGAGTCACTAGAAAAAACAAGAGATGATGTATTTGAAGAGCCTGCCCAATGCCGGCACCCTCAAATGTGGTAGCTGTTATTAACCTCCAGCCCAGTCTCTTCATTTCTATAATTCTCCAGGGTGCACATCATGAAAAAGTCATCTAAACTCAATGCTAACCTCTTGCTGCTATTTCATAATTTACCAAAGGTTTTGATCCAATTGCATTAGGTATCCATGAACCTATGAATTATTATTTATATACCAATAATTTATATTTTATATTATTAAAACTGAAAATTATTAGAATTCATGATTTATTATCTCCACTATGCTTGTAACTGCTCTGACAGCTGGAATTCAGATTTAAGAATGGATCTAGAAGTTTGATTGAATGATGTTTTAAGTCTTCTTTTCCTTTGAACTCTACTTGCACCATATAGAAAAGTATCTTATATGAGTTGTAACAGAAACTTACAGTGCAAGTAAGGGTGCTCAGTTATCTAAGTGCTACTTTTTCCTTTCCAGGTGACACCATTCCTTGCGATGTGACCCACTCCGGGAGGCCAGGTCCTCCAGGTTTTGATGGACCTCCAGGTATTATCAACGAGAAGTGTTTGCCTTATACATTTTTCAGAGTAAAAGAGCCAACAAGACAGATAAATCCATAGCAAATCCTCATAGCTACCCAACTTTTAAAATCAATATAAGGTTTTGAGGGTCCAAGGGAGTAGGAAAAACATTTAGTCATTAACACCTGAATCTCATCCACTGGTTTGAACATACTCCATGGGTTTTTTTTTTCAATCTCTGTGTAATCAAATTTTTTGGGGGTCACCTATTAACTGAAATATCTGCCCTTGAGAATTCTAAAACTGTGTCTTCTTTTTCTTCCTGTATTCCAAGAGTAGAGAATGCCCACCTGCCTGTGGACTGTAAGTTCCACTGTACCATACCTTCCAAGAGAACCAGTTTCTGACTAGATACATTCTGGATAATGCCTACATATTAACATCCTTGATTACACCTTCATACCTCTGCTTTATTTGAATCAATCCCTTGTTGTTAGCTGAATTAAACCCAAATCCATATTGTAGGAATGACTTTTATAATATGGATATAATCTGAACTAATGACTTTTACTTAATTTTGCAAACAAATAGTTACTGTTTATAATGTAGACACATTACTGTTTATAATGTGCTCCTCTTGTGGCCTTGACACCTGACCTTAATCCCCCAGGACTCTGCCTTGCCCTGCACCCAAGATAGTGAGTGAATGTGGGTATGCAAGATTAATCTGTTGGAAAGCAGGGTGCTATTTTCATTGAAAAGAATGAGAAGAATTGAGAAATCTGTCTGAAATTGTGTGTGTGATACTCTAGACCTAGGGATCAAAGGGCAAGATTCTCTGATAAGATGAGGGTGGGTCCTAGCTTCTACTTCCCAATTCATGCTAAAGATACTGTTTGAATGAAAGAGCTAGTGAATGCTGGGTACTGGGCATGGTAGTGTGCTCCCTTGGGAGGCAGAAGCAGATGGACTTCTGTGAGATCAAGGCCAGCCCGGTCCACATAGTGACTTCTAGGCAGGCTAGGACTAGGGAGACTCCATTAAAAAAAAAAAAAAAGAACGAATGAAGCCTGGCTCAGGAGCACCGAGAGCAACATTTATTTGTAAGACACATCTGAAGGATCAAACTGAGTTTGGGTCCACTCTTGGCCTTAAAATGAGTGCTAGGAGTCAGGCGGTTTCTTTATTAGGTGTAACTGTAATATGATTTAGAAACACCACAGGGATTTTCATTCTTATTTCTTTAGCTTTTATGTAAATTGGCTTTTTAAGTAGTAGCATGGTTAGTAAACATTGCTTTTCTTGCCCTACATAGGAAGAAAAAGTATCATTTGTTCTCTTGCTATTAGTCTGACTGGGGTTAGATGAAATCTTAAAGTGGTTTTAATTTGCGTTTCCCTAATTACTAATGATGTTGAACACTTTTTGAGATGTTTCTTAGCCGTCTTTATTTCTTCTTTTGAGAACTCTCTGTTCAGATCCACAGCCCATCTTTTCATTGGGTCTTTTTTTTTCTTGATTAAACCTCTGTCAGGTGTGTCACTGGTGAAGATTTTCTCCCACTCTGTGGGATTTCTCAAGAACTATTGGGCAGCTGATTGCTACTGGGTGGGGAAGAGTGGATCTTCTTTAAGGGAGTGACTCTAGATAGGCTGATGAGCCCCCAGGGGATGAACTTGCACTGAGGGACATCAAGGGACACTAACTTGACTTGATAGACCTTAATACAAATGATAGAATGCATGAAATCCAGTTGGGGGGAAGATCTATGGGAGGGTGCCAATGGGAAAGGGGGTATAAAGATGATTAGGATGTTCTGCATGAAATACACAAGAATGCAACAAAATATATATTTAATAAAAAGAATAAAATGTATTTACAGGTTGAATAATGACCAGCTTGCTGCTGCCCTCTAGAGCCATGCCATTTGTAGTCATCATTATAATGTGCAGTGGTTTCAGAGTCAAGTGGGGGTTACAAACACACTTGTTTTCTCTCTTACGAGTCTGAAGGTTGGTCTAAGATGGTGTCTGTTGGAGTGGGCTCTGGTCCTAGGTTAAGTTCGGGTCAACAACATATGTTCTATTTCAGGGTCAGGGTGCGCCCTTCTCACAGGATTGCAGGCCAGTCTCGGGCTCACACTACACTTCACATTGCATGATGCCATTCACTTCTTATTAGGGTCAGGGTGCGCCCTTCTCACAGGATTGCAGGCCAGTCTCGGGCTCACACCTCACATTGCATGATGCCATTCACTTCTTATTGGCCAGCTAGTTTCAAATTCCTTTTGTATGTATGTTATATAATATATAATATGTTGCATATAATGTATATATATAAAATAAATAATAAAATCTCATTGGTCAGTCTGTGGGCAAGCTCCAAGGTCAAAGGATAAGAAGGCATATTGCAGTCACAAGGCAGCAGAGAGAATGGAGACTTGATTCTAAGTCAGCAGAGTCCTGGATGGTGATTGACTCACTGAATATTCATTTCCACTTCAGTGGTACCTTTTTGCAGATGAATAAAACAAGTTTGATTGCTTTCAGAAGTTTTAGCTTAAGGGAAGTAACTTCTCAGTTACACTGGCAGTTTTATCTCCTTTGAAGTCATTTTAGCTGAGCTAACTCTTTGGAGGAAGTAAGAGATGTAAAATAAAATCTCAATTCCTTTTGAAGGTGGTTTGGCCATACTTCATAGAAGAACAAATGCAACATGGTGTAGGAAAAGAAACTTGCTCTTTCCTCTAGTGTGTTCTCAGTAAGGTGGACTCTGGTCACCACTTATGCTCTCCTAAAGGACAGGCTAATGTCTGCAGATTTGCTTTATGAACCTAGCATGGAAGGCATCAAAAGTTCATGTGAATGGTAGTGTACATGTGAAAGTGTTTTGGGAAGACTCTTTTGGGGTGCAGATGATGAAAAAAAATCCCTCTGTGAAGTATTTACCTGGAACACATGACTCACCGAATGCTTTTGTAAACCAGGACTGAAAACATTCTTCTATAAAACTGTGATACTCAAAATGGGAATTAAGATAGACATTGTGGGTTGACGCTGTCCAGTGGCAAGTCCACACTCCACCGACGGAGCAAAGACCACTCTAGGAGCACGTCAGAGGGTGGAACTCCATTTTATTTTTCAGCAGGCTGTATATATACACATAATCATCCAATAGCATGAAAGGGCACCCATTGTGGACCAGTGGTGGCAAAGGTCATGCTGATCACGCGCTTACATCTAGCATTGGGGATCATCATGCACTGATCACACGCCAGTCATGAGGAGGCAGACCAATCAAAGGCAGTGGAAGCAAGATGCACTCTCAGGCCATCTGTGGGGAAAGGTGTGGAAGGAGGTGCGGCAATGGGGGTGGGCCCAATGTTGATGGCACAGTTTCAATTCTGATACAGGAAACGGGCTTAAGCTATGAAATGGCCCTGGCAGGGCTGGAATTTGGCCTGCAAGTCCCCTTTTTTCTTTTATAGAAGCCAACAATGGTTAGGTGAAAGATCATAAAACCTGCCCTGAATATTTAACATGCTTGGGCTGGCCTAAGGGTCTCGATCCTCCAACCGTGTCAAAGCCAAATGTGTCCAGGCAGTAGCCTGCAGGGTTAACTGTTTATGAATGACTTCTGCCAACACTGGTATTTGTTGGTGCTGATCCTGAATCTGAGCACACAGCGTTCTAACACAGTAAAGCAGAATTATAATGGCCAATACCATTGCACCCCAAAACAGGGCCCTGAGGGGATTACTGAACCATGAACCAATGCATTGCAAATACCCTAGAAAAATCCTGTATCAGAGAGGGTAAAGGGATGATATCAACCCAAGTGTTATTAACACTGGTAGCTCTATCAGTGATACGTGCTGTAAGGTGGACCATCTTTTTGTCTCAAGTACCCCAGACATATTGAGACAGATTATGTGTTTCATTAAGCATAGCTACTGCAGTGTAAGGAATCATTGGCAACCAAGTAAGGAATAACACAGACGTGGGAGACTCTAACATCAGAAGGAAGACCCATCATGCAATACAGCCTCAAGGATAAAAGCATGAATGTCTAGCTGAGTCTGGAGGTTGGCGATGCCTAGTCTGACATGATCTAAGGAGAAGGCTGCCGAAGAAAGTCCCTCTGACGTAAATGCTGACAGATTGTTGAGCACCAAGGCTTGAGCTGCCTGATTAGTCAAGACCACCCCAGCAGTAACAGCAGAAGTCAGCAGAGCAATCAAGGAAGTAATGCCAAGAATCAGCAGGCCCAGCAATCATTCATCATCAGCACAGGCTTGATGCACTCGGCAATTGCCTGTCGCAGCACCGTCTCCATGTGTATGCATACTCCAGACACACAGTCCACCACCACCAGGGCACCATCTATGACTCGCAGGGCGGCCATCACCTCTGAGGAAAAGTCCACATGGCCTGGGGAATTGATGAGGTTGATGAAGAAGCCTGACCCATCTTTTCTCTGCTTGATGAAGTTCAGGTCTTTCTCTGGCAGCTCGTAGAAGAGTGAGATGGTGGTGGACTTGATGGTGATGCATCACTCCTGCTTGTCCTTGCAGGTGTCTGTGAAGCGCGTCTCCCTGGTGCATGCAGAGGCAATGATGCCTGCCTTACACACCAGCGAGTCTGTCAGTGTGGACTTGCCATGGTCCATGGGGTGTGCAATGACAGACGTATTCTGGATATTGGCCTTCTTGTCCATGATGGCTCAGATCTGATCTACTGTGAAGTTCACCATGGTGGTGGATAGTGGTGGATTCTCCCAAGTAAAGGTGAAAAGTGAGAACTGTCAAGGATGGTGGCGACGGCAGCACACGAGCTACCCATTGTGGGGATCACTTACCCGAAAACCAGGCTTGCAGCGGGTCATGCTCAGGCACCAGATGTGGGTCCATGCCGTCCAGCAGCAAGTCCACACCTCACCGAGAGCAAGTGCGACGGTGCGACAGAGAAAAGACCACTCCGGGAGTGCCTCAGAGGGAGGAACTCCACTTTATTTTTCAGCAGGCTGTATATATACACATAATCATCCAATAACATGAAAGGGCACCCATTGTGGACCAGTGGTAGCAAAGGTCATGCTGACCATGCGCTTACATTTAGCATTAGGGATCATGCACTGATCACACACCAGTCATGAGGAGGCAGACCAATCAAAGCACAGTGAAAGCAAGATGCACTCTTAGGTCATCTGTGGGAAAAGGTGTGGAAGGAGGTGCAGCTATGGGGTGGGGGGACACCATGTTGATGGTGCAGTTTAAATTCTGATACAGACAACGGGCCTAAGCTATGAAATGGCCCTTGCAGGGCTAGAATTTGGCCTACAGACATTTTTTTAAATGTTATTTTGTTTTCATTTGTTTTTTGTGTGATTGAGTCATTGTTTTGTTGTTCTTGTTTAGGTCTAAAAGGGTTTCCAGGTCCTCCAGGTGACCCCGGGCTGAGATGTTCAGATGGGCAGAAAGGCCAACGTGGCAAACCAGGACCTGGAATCCCAGGTCCACCTGGTAAGTTAAGGGCTTCCCTGACATGAGAAGACATATCACAAATTACTAAAATGGACACCTTGAAGGAAATGGCCCAGGGATCTGTAGCTATGGGACAAATGGGTTCTGGTATACAGACCCTCAGCTGTGCTATGGTAACTTGTGGATAAAGAGAGTCTTATGAGGCAGAGGGGAGCATTAGTTATATCCCATTATGAGTTCATTGTGTGCTTGAAACCCCTCAGTCCAGAATAATGTCCACCAGATGAAGAAAGCAATTAGGGGGCCCAACATGGTGAAGCTCACCTATAATCCCGGCATTCAAGAGCCTGAGGTGGGAGGATCACATTGAGTTGTAGTCCAGCCTGGGCTATGTAGCGAGGTCCAGGTCAACCTGGCTACAGAGTAAGAGCCTCTCTCAAAAAACAACAACAAAAAATAATTAGGGAAACATTGTTGGCATGTGGGAAATACAGCTAGAATTTGTGTATCTAGAAAAGATAGCAAGAGCAATATTACCTGTCAAGCCTTTGAGGTTAACAACATTACTTTTTTAAGCACATCTTAAGCAGTAAATATATACTCTTGTCTTTTTTAAAAAAAACATTGTTTGTTTTTCTCGATCAAAGTAGTGGTCTTGTATGTGTTGGTTTCCATGCTTGTACATCTAACAACTAACTTTTGTTGTTGTTAACTAGGCTTTCGTGGTGACATGGGGGATCCAGGCATTGAAGGTGAAAAGGGGTCCTCCCCTCCTGGACCCCCAGGCCTACCTGGATCACCTGGAATGGATGGTCAGAAAGGAATCCCAGGAGATGCTGCATTTGGTGATCCAGGGCCCCCTGGAGATAGAGGTCTTCCAGGAGTGCCAGGGATGAAAGGACGGAGAGGGGAGCCAGGATGCCCAGGGGC